TATAGTATAGTATAGTATAGTATAGTATAGTATAGTATAGTATAGTACAGTATAGCATGGTGTAGTATAGTATAGCACAGTATAGTTAAGTATAGTATAGTACAGTATAGTTTAGCATAATACATTACAGTATAGTATAACACAGTATTGTATAATATAGTACAACATAGTATGGTGTAGTATAGTATAGTACAGTATAGTTAAGCATAATACAGTATAGTATAGTATAGTATAGTATAGTACAGTATAGTACAGTATATTATAGTATAGTATTGCACAGTATAGTACAGTGAAGTATAGTATAGCATAGCACAGTACAATATAGTATAGTAGTCATTCGTTCGTTCATTCATTCACTCAACCTTTATTTATACAGGATAGTATAGTATAGTACAGTATAGCACAGTATAGTATTGCACAGTAACGTATAGTACAACATAGCATAGCACAGTTCAATATAGCACAGTATACCATACCATACCAATTTATTTATAAAGCACTTTAAACAGTGACAAAGCACACCAAAGTGCTGTACAGGGACAAACAGAACAAGCACATAGCAACAGATTACATAACAGGACACCAAAAAGTAGAAACCGACAAAAACAATAATGGATAACAACAACAACCGCAACATGACTAACACAGTGTGATGCACACATACTCAGCACAGATCACACAGTGCAGAAAGCCAGGGAATAGAAGTGCGTTTTTAAGCGAGATTTAAAAACTGTGAGGGAGGGGCCCTGTCTAACGAGCAGAGGTAACTCATTCCAAAGTCTTGGGCCTGCTACAGAGAAGGCCCTGCCACCTCTGCGCTTGAGACGGGTTCCTGGGACTGTTAGGAGCAACTGGTCTGCTGATCTGAGAGAACGTGGTGGGACATATGGCTGGAGCAGATCAGTAAGATAGGAGGGGGCAGAGCTGTTTAGTGATTTATAGACATACAAGAGTATTTTGAATTTGATTCGAAGGTGAACCGGAAGCCAGTGTAGGGAGGCCAAAACAGGTGTAATGTGCTCTCTTTTGCTTGTGCTGGTCAAAAACCGGGCTGCTGCATTTTGGACCAGTTGGAGTCTAGCTATGGAGGTCTGACTGATACCAAAAAGGAGTGAGTTGCAATAGTCGAGCCTGGATGTAATGAATGCATGAATTACTGTCTCCAAGTTATTTTTGGACAATATGGGCTTCAGCTTAGACAGTCGCCTCAGCTGGAAAAAGCAGGATTTAACAATCATATTTACATGATTGTTGAGTTTCAGAGAAGGGTCAAGTATCACTCCTAGATTAGTGACTCTTTGTTTCACTAACGGTGACAGAACGGATAGGTCGATGCAGTGGTTGGTGATTGTGTCATTGGGAGGAAACAGCATAACTTCAGATTTCTTCTCGTTGAAACTCAAGAAATTTAAAGCCATCCAATCTCTGATGTCAGCCAGGCAGTCCAGTAACGGTTGAATAGAGCGAGTACCGTTGAGTCTGAGGGGGAAGTAGATTTGGCAGTCGTCGGCGTAGAAATGAAAAGGTATGTTATGTTTCCTGAAAATAGCACCTAGTGGCAGCAGGTATAAAGAAAATAAAAGAGGACCAAGGATGGACCCTTGCGGTACCCCCCATTTAAGCGCTGCCAAGGCTGAACTAAAATCTTTGATGGAGACACAAAAGGACCTGTCAGCGAGGTAAGATCTAAACCATTCGAGGGCTGACCCAGTGATGCCCACCCACTGCTCTAACCTCGCAATGAGAATCTCGTGGTCAATTGTATCAAAGGCAGATGTGAGGTTCAGTAAGAGAAGGAGCACAGAATCACCAGCGTCTGTGAATAGGAGAACGTCGTTAAAAACCTTGAGTAGAGCAGTTTCAGTGCTGTGGAGAGGTTTAAAGCCAGACTGGAATAGCTCTAAGATGGCATTATCCTCTAGAAAGCATTTCAGCTTGGACTCCACTATTTTTTCCAGCAGTTTAGCGACAAATGGGAGTCTGGAGACAGGCCGGAAGTTGGACATGACTTAGGGGTCATGGCTAGGTTTTTTCAGGAGAGGTTGGACAGCAGCATGTTTAAAAGTTATTGGCACCACACCTGAGGCTAAGCTGCTGTTCACAATGCCAAGAACAGGAGGGCCCAGAACAGGAAGAAGCTCCTTAAGGAGTCGAGGGGGGACAACGTCAAAAGAGGAGCCAGATGGCTTCATGCCGCACATGACCTGCTCCAGGGAAGACAGAGAGATGGTCTCGAAGTGGTCCAGAACAGCAACACAATGAGATGGGATGGACGGATCATGAGCAGGTGGAGAAATGAGTGCCCGGGTGTTTGCAACTTTTTCAGAAAAGAAATGGAGGAAGTTTTCACACAGCTCAGTTGAGGCTTCTAGAGGTGAAGGTTCACTGAGGTGTAGAACTGAGTTCAGGGTGGAAAAAAGGGCTCGGGGGTTGTGGGAGTTTGAGGCAATTATTGCAGAAAAGTACTTCGATTTGGCGGCTTTAACTGCCTTCTGATAATGACGCAAACTCTCCTTTAGGATGTGAAAAGAAACCTGCAGCCTGTCTTTCCTCCACCTGCGTTCAGCTCTCCTACATTGCTGTCTAACGGCTTGAGTGACGTCATTAAGCCATGGTTCTGATAAAAGTTTTGTTTTCCTGGTTTTAACGGGAGCAACACGGTCCAGAATATTTGAGCAAACAGAGTTAAGCTGAGAGGTTAGCTCCTTGGTGGAGAGAGACACTGAGAGCTGATCAATCCTCTCAGAGCTAAAAGCTTCAGTAAAACGTGCAGCAGTGAAACGGTTAATGGCGCATGAAGTACGTGCAGAATCACATGACTTAGCAGTAGGACAGGGCGGGATGATATCAAACAAGACAGGCATGTGGTCTGAGAGAACGTTGTCACCGATTACCAAATTACAAACAGAGACATCACATGTTAAAATGAGATCCAGAGTGTGACCGTGTTGTTGGGTGGGAGCATTTACATGTTGAGTTAAATTAAATGAGTCCAACAAATCAAGGAAGTCCTTCACTAACGGCTTCTCCTGACAACAGACGTGAATATTAAAGTCACCAACGATAATAAAGTGATCATATCTTGGTGTGATGTAAGCCAGAAAATCAGAGAATTCACTTATGAAGTCCTTGGAACCAGGGGGGCGATAAACAATCGCACACAGAATGGGAGGGGAATGTCCGAGTTCAAAAGCACTCAGCTCAAAACTGGAGCAGGGCATGAGGGTGGACAACTGTTTACAGGAAAAGTTTGATTTAAATACAGTTAATATTCCACCACCCCGCCGACCTGATGGCCGCGGGGCATTAAAACACAGACAGTCAGGAGGTAAAAGTTCCACCAAGGCGCTTGAATCACCCAAAGGCAACCAGGATTCAGTGAGAAAAAGAAAATCTAGTCCCTCGTCTTTAAAAAAGTCATTTAGAATAAAAGTCTTGTTGGCAGCAGACCTTGTGTTGATGAGGCACATCCTGATCTGGTCCGACACAGAACCAGCCATGGTGGGGGTGGTGCGCGCCAACGGTTGCAGATTTTCAAAAACAGCGCCTCCAGGACGGTCCAAGCGCCGGGCTGGTAGACAACACCCATATTTTCCCTGGTCCGGGCACGTAGGAAGCTGGCTGTGGAAACGTTGACCACGCAGAGCTTTGAGTTTTACCAGCCGGCCGGTACGTTTACCCCGGCGTCTGGATCGATATCTCCGAGAAGGCAGGCTTGGGAACCAGCGTAAACAAGCAGGCATGTCTGCCAGAAGGGGTGGAAGGGGGGGGGGGTCCCGAGTCACGATCAAAATGGTCCGAATCAGCGACAGCAGAAACAGACAATCGAAGATCGAGGAGCTGTTGTCGGTCATACACAAGCAGCGAGTTGATATCCCAGACAAAAAACGAAAAAAGCAGAAATAATCCAAACAGTATCGTCAGAGGTAGATTACAGGCCATGTACACGGGCGCCATCTTACCGGAAGTCTCTTAATGGATCTATATCTATAGATCTATAGTATAGCTCAGTATAGTATAGCATATCACAGTTCAGTGTCGTATAGTATAGTACAGTATAGTAGAGTATAGCACAGTATAGTATAGCACAGTACAGTATAGTATATTACAGTATAGCACAGTATAGTATAGTACAGTACAGTATAGAATAGTATAGTATAGTACAATATAGCACAGTATAGTATAACACAGTACAGTATAGTATAGTATAGGAAGTTTAAATCTCACAAAAATGTAGACAGAATCTTTACAGTACAAAGACGCTTATCCATCTGATGATAAAAAAAAAAAGAGTAGGAAAGGTGCTAAATATTGTCGATGAAAATTCTAAAATAAGGTGCTGTAAAAATTGGTATTTCACTTTCATTTTCAGCACTTTGGCCAACAGTGTTGTTTTAAAGTGCTTTATAAATAAAGTTGTATTGTAGTTGTATTGTACTACTTCACAGTTTGATTGCAGGCTTTACACGCAAATGGATGAATGAGGGAGATTTGAATGAAAATTAAAAAGATTTAGTCTGTTACTGACAGATGACAAAAATACAATGAGGTGCCACGGCGCTTAACCTTTCACTGGAATTTCATATAATCAGATATCGAGTTTGATCATTTCAGAACTTTTGTTTGTGGCAGACTGAGTATACAGTATTATATTATCAATATATGAACTGTTGACCGAGAACCCTGTGACCCCCTACCTTTGACCACAGAGGAAATTAATCTCTTATTGAGCTGTTTGGAAATGTTCTAAAGCTAAACTGCACATTCTGGTGTTGTGTTAGGGAATTACCTCGGCCAGTTCTGGCTGCTAAATCAGTTGTGTAACCTTCAGCTGAATCTTCTCCATGTTCTGTACTAACACTCCTTTCAGCTGGAATCTACCTTTTGTTAATTTGCTCGTGTTTGTTGTCGTGCAGCGCCCTGCAGTCCTCACAGATTACCTTTCTGCAACTCCCTTAGCCCAAACAAAGCTGGACTCCAGGGAGGCTCTCAGTCCACTCCCAGTACCCCTAAGGTCAGATCTTGCTCATATTGCATTTAATTTACGGCCACACCTTTACATATCAGTAACAATAAGACAGCAAATCAATTGGACCCCCCCCCCCCCCCCCTTACAGAAAGAGCGAATGCGCAGAGACAGAAGGACTGCATCCCCAGGTTATGGATCTCCTCTGAGAAGGTCTGAATCCCCTGCAGGTGCCACCAAGCACTTGGCTTCCCCTACCACCTCCAGGTGAGCCACTTTGTTGTTAGCATCAAAATGAACTAATTAAACACCTTTTTCCTGAAGCATCTTTGTTTCTGTGCAGGTTAGCGTGTAAGACGCGCGCCCATTCTCCCAGCAGTTTACAGCAGTACCACCATTCTCCAACACGACATTGTCCAAATCCACCGAGTAGCGATAAAAAACTAGATGATAAGAAGATGGACAAAGTGTCTGCGCAATCTAAACCCGAGAAAACTAAAACTGACGTCGGCAGCTTGAGTTCACCATCACATGTTGAGAAGAAAGCGTCCAGAACTGACTCTTCAGAGAGGAAGTTACAGAGTGGAGACAGGGGCAAAAGTGAACGTGAGAGATTTTATTTCACGTTTATTTTTGGTACAGTTTGATCTTTTTTTTTTATGTTTCATACTGTTTTTCTGCTATATTTGACAGAATCAGGGAAAGTTGGAGCTGGCACCACAGACGCAGAGGAAGCCACGAGGCTGCTGGCAGAGCGCAGGCGTCAGGCTCGAATCCAGAAAGAGCTGGAGGAGAAAAAACGGGCAAAGGAGGAAGACGAGAGGTGAGTTCAGATCCTCGTCTCAGCAGTCCAGGTCCAAGTCCTGACCTGGAGCTTCATTCTCCTTTATTTTTCTGCCGTGTGACAGGAAGAGACAGAAGGACATGGATGTGCAGGTTCTCTTAGCATGTGAAGAATAGAACTGCTGATGTCGCTTTTTACTTCTTTGGACAACTTCAAAATAATGTCACGTGAGCAGAGAGCCAGTTCTCACGTCTGACAGCGGCAGTAGAATTCTTTTGTTTGCATCAGTCTTCATTGACAACCCTTGTTTTGGTTGTTCTTTCTTTACATGTTTAATTCTAACTCCTCCTTCAAAGCGTTACGCCTCAGTTCTATTTCGTATAAGCTTCGCCCTTTAAGGCTGTCGCTGGTGGGTTATCCCGTCATGTGAAGCATTACACTGAAAAAATTTAGTCCACACCCACCTGCTGTGTGGGCCCCACCCGGTCCGTATAAATTACGTTAAGAGCGGGAAATTGGCTCCCATTTTTCTTCAGCGAGCTAATAGCACTGTCAGAAGAACGAAGAGGGAAGTTGTGTAGATGACCAACCTTTGTTAAGAATGCTTGGCCCATCACATCGACCTCTGGTCGTCCCGGTGAGCTCTCCTCCCCGAGGAGAAGCTGACGAGCAGTCTTGTTTCAAGGTAAGCGCCGAGGAGTATTTCTCAGTGACAGGTCGCTACACGCTGGAAAACGCCATCTTGTAATTTTCCTCTTATCGCCGACCCCCGGAGCGAATCAGATGGTTCCTCCAGGAAAGGCAGCGTCAGCAGCAGCCCCCTGCGGCTCATTCCCTCCTGGAGAGCGTAGTGTCGTGGAGAGGGGCTGAGCGAATGCTCACCTCACCCCACCTCGTTTCGCATCGGCGATCACACCGCTCCCGGCCGATGGCACTCTCTGGGGTTGCCCGCGTAACCCAGGAGTGGCTGACATGAAGGGACCTTTTTTTTTTTGTTTATGTCCTTTTTCCTTGTTCCCGCCAGTTCGAATGATCCGGCGGGAGGGTTCTTTTTCTAGGCTCCTTTTCTGGCTCACCGTCCTGACCCCATCTGGCCTCGTTTTTCCCAACAGGGCGTCCTACGGGACGAGGCCACATCCGGTTTTCCTGGTAGATTAGGGGCCTGGTTCCCACAGCCCGCGCCCATCACCAGAGTAGAGGGGTTTTCACCGAGCGGTTTTTCCCTCAGTGCCCCCTGGAGCCGAGCCTGACAGAGGCTTCATCGGAGCAAGATGTCCAGGTGGACTAGCGTCCCGCACCTCCGGTTAGCATAATCCAGACGGTGACACCGATCTTCGACTGAGCTCACCAGCATGCGTTCCAGACGGCCGCAGCGAACAACACGTTATGCTGTTGTCGTACATGTTCAGAGGTGGGAGGAGACAACGCTCCATCTGCAGAGCAGCTGACGTCACCCCCAACCGGTGCGCCTCTTTGCTGTCTGCCGGCTCGCATCGCAGCCGGAGGACGGAGTTTTTCAGCGTTTCCCTGAGACTGCCAACAGATGGCACTCTAGGACAACAAATGGCAGAACAATTGACGGTTGTGGCAGAGAATGTGTGTAGGTGACACGAGTTTGGAGTAAAACATCATTTAATGATGAAAGTGTCCATTTTTAGCCAGTTTGTCAGCTCAGATGATCTGACAGTGGCTCTCTCTCACACCCTCCACACGAAATGAGCCGGTGGCAAGATGGTTCCACGGCCGTCTCGCTGAGCTTCAGCCCGTCCGGCCCTCTTCATCCTGGCAACAGAGTGTCCAACGTTTTTCCCAGAGACCCCCAACAGACGGCGCCCTGGGCCAACGAATCCCAGAGCTCATGGGGGAAAAGATTCAGAATGATTGTCTGCAGAGGGTGTGTGTAAATATGACACAAATGTTGAATAAAACATCATTCAATGATCAAGTGTCTGTTTCTAGCCAGTCTGTAAGCTCGAATGGACTCACAGCAGCTGCGCACACACCCTCCACACATAATGAGACGGTGTCTTTAGTAAGGGTTTTTTTTAAACTCACCGTTGCTCCAAGAGATGACGAGACGCTCACACCTCACAATGGTAAGTGAAATAACTCGTTGTCAACCTGAGCTGCACGATCCTAACCCAAGCGGTGTCAAACGCGCACTCACGTGACGCAAACAGCCTTCACCCAAACGGCATTGCGTTGATGATGGTGCACACACAGCTCCCCGGCGTTCACCGACCCACATCGGCATAAATGTGGGACCGCAGGTCGGGTCGGTGGAGGACCACGCTCTCAGTGAGAGCGACACACGCCGCATCGAAGCAAACGCGTGCCGCTGCGGCGCAGGCAGCCTTCATCCACCGCGTCTCAGCGCTCGGCCGCTCACGGCAGCATAAGCGTGAGACAGCTGAGCGAACCCAGTGACGAGTCTCGCTTCCAGCGAGAGCGGCACGCGTCCCACCAGGGAAAACGTGCTCCCGCGGGGCTCGCAGTCTTCACTCAAACGGCACGGCGTAGATGAAGTCGCACTCACAGCTTCGCAGCGCTCGCCCGCTCATGGTGGCATAGATGCGAGATTTCAAAGCGAACCCAGCGCAGGACACCGCACGCGGCAGGAGCGACACGCGTTTTCACCGCTGTGGCGTCAAACGCGCAGCCCCACAGCGTCATCAGCTGCCACGCTTCGCCTCAGCACACACTGGCCCACCTAGACATGAAGGTTGGTCCGCGGTCCGAACGCAGCACACGGGCGCGTTCAGAGCCCTTTTGAGGAAGCCTTGCCTTGGGTCACGCGGAAAACATTCCCGCGACACATGACGGCGGTCGAGGCGGTGGACTGGATGACATCCGTACAAAACATGATGCATCACTTAAACGCACGTCCACTCCACGAACGTTACGCGGAGTGGCTAAAAACATGCTCGCCAGACAGATGGATGGCCAGGGTGTTATGCAAAGGTTACACGTTGCAATTTGCAACCCGACCCCCTCCGTTCGGAGGAATTTTAGAGACGGTCCTGTCATCACCAGACCAACTCTCATCCCTAAATGCAGAAGTCCAAGAGCTTCTGATAAAAGAAGTAATCTCCAGAGTTCCCAACGGAGAGAAAAACACAGGGTTTTACTCACGTTACTTCCTGGTTCCCAAACAGACCGGAGGGATGAGACCGATTTTGGATCTGTCAGCTTTCAACAAGGTGATCATGGACAAACCGTTTCACATGTTGACAACCAGACAGCTGTTGGACAACATCCAGAGAAACGACTGGTTTGTTTTCCGTCGACCTGAAAGATGCTTATTTTCACATACCGATCATCCCAAAACACAGAAAATTCCTGCGTTTCTCCTTTCAAGGGATGAAGTATCAGTACAACAGGCTGCCATTCGGTTATCCTCTCGCACCTCGTACGTTCTCAAAGTGTGTGGAGACAGCCCTGCATCCGTTACACAGAGCAGGGATGAGAGTTTTGTTTTACCTGGACGACCTGCTGCTGCTGTCACGCTCCAGACAGGAAGCAGTGATGCAAGCTCAGGTGTTGACATCCCACCTGTTAAATCTGGGCTTCACCATAAATTGGAAGAAAAGCTCAATTTTCCTGGCCCAGACAATTGTTTTTCTGGGAGTGGAGCTAACTCAACCACCATGAGGGCTCGTTTATCACAAACGAGAATTGACACTTTAAAAGACCAGTTCCGTCTCGTAAGACCTGGCAGAGTGGTAACAGCTGTTTTCCACAATGAAGCTGTTAGGAATGATGTCTTCAGCTCACACAGTTGTCCCACTGGGTTTATTACACATGAGACGCCTCCAGAGGTGGTTTGCGCATCTGCTTGTGGACCCAGAAAAACAAAAGAGACGGATGATCACTGTTCCTCCGTGAGGGCAGACCTCCGACACTGGGGAAACACCCTGGTTCTGTTGGAGGGAGCCCCCGTCAGCAGACCCACGTCACACATGCCAGTCTTCACGGACGCGTCGCTGTCAGGCTGGCGGGGGGCATGCCTATCTCAAGCAGTAGGGACGCTGTGGCCCCATCACACATCTGCCCACATAAATGTTTTGGAGTGCCACACGGTGCTTAACGTGATTCAACACTTTGCTGCTGTGCTACAGAATCAACACGTTTTGATTCACACAGACAACAAGGTGACTGCTGCGTACATAAACCGGCAGAGGGGTGTGTGCTCAGCACAGATGTTACACATTGCGCGAAAGCTACTGTGTTGGGCTCACCTAAATCTGCTCTCCATCAGAGCAGTTTATATACCCGGTGTTCTGAACAAAGGGGCAGATGTGATGTCCAGGGGCGGTCCACGTCACGGGGACTGGACTCTCCATCCAGACCTGATGACTCAGACGTGGCAGAAATTTGGCAAAGCAGCTGTGGACCTGTTTGCGACACGAGAAAACGCTCAGTGTCAACTATGGTTTTCTCTGAGCCCGCGAGACGAACCACCGCTGGGGGTGGATGCGTTTGCCCACAGCCCATGGCCCAAAACGCTTCTGTATGCGTTTCCTCCACCTCCTCTGATTTTACGGTTCCTGAACCGAGTTCAGGAGGAGGGATTGACAGCTCTCCTGGTGGCCCCCGAGCGCGTGAACGCACCATGTTTCCCAGTCCTGCAACGCCTGCTGTCGGGGCGCCCATGGAAACTGCCATGGAGGGAGGATGCTCTCCTCCAGGCAGGAGGAGCGATCAGGAGTTACCCAGAAATAGGCCAGCACCTGTGGGTCTGGCCGCTGAGCGGATCCGCTTAGAGAGGATGGGTCTCCCACAGGATGTAGTGCGCACAATCCAGGATTCACGTGCTGCATCTACCACAGCGCTGTACACATCAAAGTGGACAGTTTTTCAGTGCTGGTGTACTGAGAAAGGTGTAGAGGTCATCTCATGTCCACTAGGTGGCATGCTGTCCTTTTCTGCAACAGCTGATGGACAGAAATTTGGCATCCAGCACAATTAAAACATACGCCACGAAGGGTTCGGAGACAGAACAGGTTTTAATCATCCGCTGATGAAGCGCTTTTTAAAAG